TTGATCCTATTCCCTCACAAAAAGAACTGATCCTATTCCCTCACAAAAAGAATTGATCCTATTCCATCACAAAAAGAATTGATCCTATTCCATCACAAAAAGAATTGATCCTATTCCCTCACAAAAAGAACTGATCCTATTCCCTCACAAAAAGAATTGATCCTATTCCATCACAAAAATAATTGATCCTATTCCCTCACAAAAAGAACTGATCCTATTCCCTCACAAAAAGAACTGATCCTATTCCCTCACAAAAATAATTGATCCTATTCCATCACAAAAAGAACTGATCCTATTCCATCACAAAAAGAACTGATTCTATTCCATCACAAAAATAATTGATCCTATTCCATCACAAAAAGAACTGATCCTATTCCATCAAAAAAAGAACTGATCCTATTCCATCACAAAAAGAATTGATCCTATTCCATCACAAAAAGAACTGATCCTATTCCATCACAAAAAGAATTGATCCTATTCCATCACAAAAAGAATTGATCCTATTCCATCACAAAAAGAATTGATCCTATTCCATCACAAAAAGAATTGATCCTATTCCATCACAAAAAGAACTGATCCTATTCCATCACAAAAAGAACTGATCCTATTCCCTCACAAAAAGAACTGATCCTATTCCCTCACAAAAAGAATTGATCCTATTCCATCACAAAAAGAATTGATCCTATTCCCTCACAAAAAGAACTGATCCTATTCCATCACAAAAAGAATTGATCCTATTCCATCACAAAAAGAATTGATCCTATTCCATCACAAAAAGAATTGATCCTATTCCATCACAAAAAGAATTGATCCTATTCCCTCACAAAAAGAATTGATCCTATTCCCTCACAAAAAGAACTGATCCTATTCCCTCACAAAAAGAATTGATCCTATTCCATCACAAAAAGAATTGATCCTATTCCATCACAAAAAGAATTGATCCTATTCCATCACAAAAAGAATTGATCCTATTCCCTCACAAAAAGAACTGATCCTATTCCATCACAAAAAGAATTGATCCTATTCCATCACAAAAAGAATTGATCCTATTCCATCACAAAAAGAATTGATCCTATTCCATCACAAAAAGAATTGATCCTATTCCATCACAAAAAGAATTGATCCTATTCCATCACAAAAAGAATTGATCCTATTCCCTCACAAAAAGAATTGATCCTATTCCCTCACAAAAAGAACTGATCCTATTCCCTCACAAAAAGAATTGATCCTATTCCATCACAAAAAGAATTGATCCTATTCCATCACAAAAATAATTGATACTATTCCATCACAAAAAGAATTGATCCTATTCCCTCACAAAAAGAACTGATCCTATTCCATCACAAAAAGAATTGATCCTATTCCATCACAAAAAGAATTGATCCTATTCCATCACAAAAAGAACTGATCCTATTCCATCACACAAAGAATTGATCCTATTCCATCACAAAAAGAATTGATCCTATTCCATCACAAAAAGAATTGATCCTATTCCATCACAAAAAGAATTGATCCTATTCCATCACAAAAAGAATTGATCCTATTCCCTCACAAAAAGAATTGATCCTATTCCCTCACAAAAAGAATTGATCCTATTCCATCACAAAAAGAATTGATCCTATTCCATCACAAAAAGAATTGATCCTATTCCATCACAAAAAGAATTGATCCTATTCCATCACAAAAAGAATTGATCCTATTCCATCACAAAAAGAATTGATCCTATTCCATCACAAAAAGAATTGATCCTATTCCCTCACAAAAAGAATTGATCCTATTCCCTCACAAAAAGAACTGATCCTATTCCCTCACAAAAAGAATTGATCCTATTCCATCACAAAAAGAATTGATCCTATTCCATCACAAAAAGAATTGATCCTATTCCATCACAAAAAGAATTGATCCTATTCCCTCACAAAAAGAACTGATCCTATTCCATCACAAAAAGAATTGATCCTATTCCATCACAAAAAGAATTAATCCTATTCCATCACAAAAAGAACTGATCCTATTCCATCACAAAAAGAATTGATCCTATTCCATCACAAAAAGAATTGATCCTATTCCATCACAAAAAGAATTGATCCTATTCCATCACAAAAAGAATTGATCCTATTCCATCACAAAAAGAATTGATCCTATTCCCTCACAAAAAGAATTGATCCTATTCCCTCACAAAAAGAATTGATCCTATTCCATCACAAAAAGAATTGATCCTATTCCATCACAAAAAGAATTGATCCTATTCCATCACAAAAAGAATTGATCCTATTCCATCACAAAAAGAATTGATCCTATTCCATCACAAAAAGAATTGATCCTATTCCATCACAAAAAGAATTGATCCTATTCCATCACAAAAAGAATTGATCCTATTCCCTTATTCCATCACAAAAAGAATTGATCCTATTCCATCACAAAAAGAATTGATCCTATTCCCTCACAAAAAGAATTGATCCTATTCCATCACAAAAAGAATTGATCCTATTCCCTCACAAAAAGAATTGATCCTATTCCATCACAAAAAGAATTGATCCTATTCCATCACAAAAAGAATTGATCCTATTCCCTCACAAAAAGAACTGATCCTATTCCCTCACAAAAAGAATTGATCCTATTCCATCACAAAAAGAATTGATCCTATTCCCTCACAAAAAGAACTGATCCTATTCCCTCACAAAAAGAACTGATCCTATTCCCTCACAAAAAGAATTGATCCTATTCCATCACAAAAAGAATTGATCCTATTCCATCAGAAAAAGAATTGATCCTATTTCATCACAAAAAGAATTGATCCTATTCCCTCACAAAAAGAACTGATCCTATTCCATCACAAAAAGAATTGATCCTATTCCATCACAAAAAGAATTGATCCTATTCCATCACAAAAAGAATTGATCCTATTCCATCACAAAAAGAATTGATCCTATTCCCTCACAAAAAGAATTGATCCTATTCCCTCACAAAAAGAACTGATCCTATTCCCTCACAAAAAGAATTGATCCTATTCCATCACAAAAAGAATTGATCCTATTCCATCACAAAAAGAATTGATCCTATTCCATCACAAAAAGAATTGATCCTATTCCCTCACAAAAAGAACTGATCCTATTCCATCACAAAAAGAATTGATCCTATTCCATCACAAAAAGAATTGATCCTATTCCATCACAAAAAGAATTGATCCTATTCCATCACAAAAAGAATTGATCCTATTCCATCACAAAAAGAATTGATCCTACTCCATCACAAAAAGAATTGATCCTATTCCCTCACAAAAAGAATTGATCCTATTCCCTCACAAAAAGAACTGATCCTATTCCCTCACAAAAAGAATTGATCCTATTCCATCACAAAAAGAATTGATCCTATTCCATCACAAAAAGAATTGATCCTATTCCATCACAAAAAGAATTGATCCTATTCCCTCACAAAAAGAACTGATCCTATTCCATCACAAAAAGAATTGATCCTATTCCATCACAAAAAGAATTGATCCTATTCCATCACAAAAAGAACTGATCCTATTCCATCACAAAAAGAATTGATCCTATTCCATCACAAAAAGAATTGATCCTATTCCATCACAAAAAGAATTGATCCTATTCCATCACAAAAAGAATTGATCCTATTCCATCACAAAAAGAATTGATCCTATTCCCTCACAAAAAGAATTGATCCTATTCCCTCACAAAAAGAATTGATCCTATTCCATCACAAAAAGAATTGATCCTATTTCATCACAAAAAGAATTGATCCTATTCCATCACAAAAAGAATTGATCCTATTCCATCACAAAAAGAATTGATCCTATTCCATCACAAAAAGAATTGATCCTATTCCATCACAAAAAGAATTGATCCTATTCCCTCACAAAAAGAATTGATCCTATTCCCTCACAAAAAGAACTGATCCTATTCCCTCACAAAAAGAATTGATCCTATTCCATCACAAAAAGAATTGATCCTATTCCATCACAAAAAGAACTGATCCTATTCCATCACAAAAAGAATTGATCCTATTCCATCACAAAAAGAACTGATCCTATTCCATCACAAAAAGAATTGATCCTATTCCATCACAAAAAGAATTGATCCTATTCCCTCACAAAAAGAACTGATCCTATTCCATCACAAAAAGAATTGATCCTATTCCATCACAAAAAGAATTGATCCTATTCCATCACAAAAAGAACTGATCCTATTCCATCACAAAAAGAATTGATCCTATTCCATCACAAAAAGAATTGATCCTATTCCATCACAAAAAGAATTGATCCTATTCCATCACAAAAAGAATTGATCCTATTCCATCACAAAAAGAATTGATCCTATTCCCTCACAAAAAGAATTGATCCTATTCCCTCACAAAAAGAATTGATCCTATTCCATCACAAAAAGAATTGATCCTATTCCATCACAAAAAGAATTGATCCTATTCCATCACAAAAAGAATTGATCCTATTCCATCACAAAAAGAATTGATCCTATTCCATCACAAAAAGAATTGATCCTATTCCATCACAAAAAGAATTGATCCTATTCCCTTATTCCATCACAAAAAGAATTGATCCTATTCCATCACAAAAAGAATTGATCCTATTCCCTCACAAAAAGAATTGATCCTATTCCATCACAAAAAGAATTGATCCTATTCCCTCACAAAAAGAATTGATCCTATTCCATCACAAAAAGAATTGATCCTATTCCATCACAAAAAGAATTGATCCTATTCCATCACAAAAAGAATTGATCCTATTCCATCACAAAAAGAATTGATCCTATTCCATCACAAAAAGAATTGATCCTATTCCATCACAAGAAGAATTGATCCTATTCCATCACAAAAAGAACTGATCCTATTCCATCACAAAAAGAATTGATCCTATTCCATCACAAAAAGAATTGATCCTATTCCATCACAAAAAGAATTGATCCTATTCCATCACAAAAAGAATTGATCCTATTCCATCACAAAAAGAATTGATCCTATTCCCTTAGATCGGAGGCTCGAGGATGCTGCCAGTTCGCTGGATGTCACCAGAGGCCATCAAGTACGGGAGGTTCACATGCGAGTCTGACATTTGGGCGTACGGCGTTGTGTTGTGGGAGATCTTTAGCTTCGGGAAACAGCCGTACTACGGGCACAGCAATGAGGAGGTGAGTGATATGCGCACATAGGGGGGGGGGGGAATGTTGGTCACGGTGTGTGTAGTGATGTAAATATCCACTCTCTTTTACAACTTTGGTTTTTGTAAACGTTCAATCGAACCAACTGGTCAGAGGTTTGAATAGCTTACACACTCATGTAGTTATTTTTCTGGGACTTGGCGTTCTAATCTATCCCATAGCCCTTTTCCCATAGATCATGGAATCGTTGTTGATGCAAAAATGTTGACTCCTTCTCGCCCCCACCTCCCATGCCTTCCCGTTATAACCAATCCTTTATCTCGATCAATTCAATCTCCCACTTCAATTCCTGTTCCCTTCTTTCAGTTACCTCCTGATTATTACTCAGTCCAAAACTTCTGCAGTAAGGCATACCCCTCCCACCCAAAAAAAATGTCTGATTTATCCTTTACGTTATATTATAGAAAATAAATAGCAATAGGTACAAAGTTATAAATAAGTTCAGAGTGTAGGAATAGAATCAGGATTAGAAAAACTTATGTCCACGGGCGCCGACCTTACGGGCGTCAAAATGGGTTGTAAAAACAAATTAAAATCTCATTTTAGCTGCAGTTTTGCATTATAAATATAAAAAAAATATATGGGGGGGGGGGGTGCCAATTGAAAGTTTGATGAGGGTGCAAATTGAAAGTTTGAGGGGGGGGGGTGCAAAGTAAAAGTTTGAAGGGGGGAGTGCAAATTAAAAATTGAAAGGTTGTTCCTGAGTGGGGCGCAAAATTGAAAGTTTGTCCCCGGGCGCCGGGAATGGTTGCTACGCCTCTGGGGTGGGGGTTATGTCCTTTACTCCCCCCCCCCTACGATCGCTAGAGTGTCTGTCTTTATCTTCGTCAGGTCATTCACCTCCTGGACCAGGGCATCCTGCTTCAGAGACCGGAAGACTGCCCGTCCACGGTCTACCACGTTATGCTCGGCTGCTGGAAGCGGGACCCACGTCAGCGGATCGCCTTCGACCGGCTCGTCAAATACCTAACGGACTACCGGAACCGGCTAAACCGTCCGGCCATCTCCCAGCAATCTCCCCAGCAAACGGTTATAAGTTCAAATCCGGCTGGGGTGAAGATAGGTAGAATAAAACCAAGCGTGAATTTGGAGAATGCTATCGAATTAAAACCGGACACGGCTGAGACTTTTTATCAAAGTCTCGGAAACACCGAGACCGGTTCGGAGGATCACAGAAGTAGCATGGAGACCGTGACGTCAGGTGTGACGTCATGCGAGGACACGGACCAGGTGAAGTACTGGGAGCTACGTCCAGGACTGGGCAACGCCAGCAGCGTCACGAGTCGAGGTAGCACCAGAGAGGACTCCTCTTTCATCTCAGTCGGGTCGTCATTCTCCCTCCCCTCCGTCATCTCCCAAAACGACTCGGAAGAATACTTCAGCCAGTTCTGCCCGGAAGAGAGAACTCACGCCCCGGCCAATCAAACGCCTGTGATGTATTCCACGCTGAACTTCGATGACGTCATCGCCGTAGACGGAACCAGCATGTCGTCTGCTGCTTCGCCCGCGCGTTCGGATTTGAACCAGAACTCATTGAACGCATGTGAGGTGTCTGGAACTGACCATGTTCCTTCAAGTGCCATTGGTCCTGATCTAGTGTTACCTTCTCCTGTGTTGGCTAGCTCCGCCAGTGTGGTAGATCCTGACGATACAACAGGACATTCAATAAGTTCGGATACAAAATTATCAGTGGCGAACTATAGTGAGACTAATTCAGCGCAACACACATTGTTTGCTTAGTCAGGAAATATGAATTTTTTCCTTGATTTATGAAAAAAAAACAATACACTCTTGATAACTAAACTTTTCAATCAAGTTATAACTTTTAAAAATATTTATTTTCAATATATGTTAAAATTAATTTAAAATATTCACTAACGTGTACGTTTATGGTGAATAATGAGAGACGGTTAAATCACACGGCGAAGAATTAATTTTATGTGTATCAAGATGAAAAATTACTGTGTTAAGAAAATCTTGATTGTACAAGAATAATAATGCAATAAAAGTAAATAGATTTATTTTAATTTTGTATTTTGAAATACGACAATAGTTATTTAATGTCTACATTGTATTAATGCTTTTTGATATAGAAAAATAATATTTGTATGCGCGAATTTTGAGTCTTTGTACAATTGCTGCTTATAAAATTACACATCATATGTAATTGATATGTCTTTCCTTGTGGTCAGTTATTATAAGTGAATACGCCAAGTATAATATGTTTATTTTTGTGTTCAGTAAACAAATGATCAAATGTCTTTGTGGTCAGTAATAATTTAATGATATACGTCATGTATAAATCTGTGTGGCCAGTGGTATAGCATAATCAAATAATAGTTTAGTTGCCGAACACGAAATGACTGTGTATGTTAAATTCCCTGAACACATCTAGTTCTCATGTGTACCAAGTAATTACCAGGCCGTCGGTTCTTCTAAGAGATCAATAGCCATGCAATCTTCTTATTCTTATGTACTGCAACAACAAAAACAAAAAATACACCCTAATTTTCTAGCTTGTGAGATGTAGCTTAACAAATATAATCACAACCAAAAAGTGATGATAAGGATTTCCAGAAAGTCGACAATTTATACTCATCAGATGCTTGCGATTGCGGAGCACCAGTTCAAGTAAATAATTGTGTTTTATAATGTGTTTAAAAATGTATAAAAAAGCAGCTCATCTTTAAACAATAACAAATAATTTTTAATTTGTACAAATTGTAAACCTCTAGATTTACATTGATTCATGTCTATTATTTTTTAAAAAATTGTTACCTAACTTTACATATTTGGTATTTTACAAAATCTTCTACGGAAGAAGTGATTAAAGCGGTACTGTTATTTCTTATCAGATAATAGAATCACCGAGCCTTGACCTCGTTAGGTAGTTGCTAATTAGTCTTGTTTTTACTAATTTAAATCCGGAAGTTGTATTGGTAAAGGGTAGTTGTCAGGGAGGGAAACGGCGGTAGGGGCCACTAATGGTCTAAGAAAAAAAAATCAGAACTGTTCATTTCTATATTGTTTTATTACAATATTTTTGTTTCACATATTGTAATATTTACATTATGGGGTTTGAGCACAAAGCCGGCTCATAACTACTTACAATGTGTACATATAGTAATAATGTGTACATAACGGTGCCCTACGGCAGTGTGTACATACTGATGTCAAACGGCAATGTGTGTGTGGGCGGGGGGCTACATATTTGTCTCAAACGACAACGTGTACATATACACAAAACTGTTTACATAAAGGTGTCAAGTGACTTTGTGAAAAAAATTATGTCATCTGACAATGTACACATTTGTGTTCATTAACATAATGTACACTATGGTTTGAGGTTATAGTGTGTACACAACATAGCACTTGTTGTACAAAATGGCCCATCCAGCTCCCTCATACAACTGACACTAGGCCAGGCGAATACCAGTGACTGACAACACCGCTGACCACTTAATCCCTATTCTAATGAGATTACAAAACCACATGAACTCTACTTTACCTGGCCTATTGACCATCAGGTCTAATATGTTTTAATTTTACCATTTGTGATTGAATATATGTTATTTATTTTTTAATATATTAATGTGTATGAAAGTGGACGTTCGATTGCGTAGTCTATGTGTTTATCAAGCTGCTACATGTCAAGTTCGATAACTGAGAAAAATGTACATAATTAGTTAAACAAGAGTTAAATACCCTATTTATTCTTTCAATCGTATATTGCTCATTAGTAGAAACCAACATTCTATTGTTAATTAGTTACATTATTTTTAAAATCAAGCTCAATGTATTATGTTAATTATTTGTATTATATAAATCGCATCAGCTAAATGCTATTTTTTTTAATATATCAAAGAATGTGTTGATTAAAAAAAGTTACACCGTGTTACAATTTTTGTACCCTTCAACTAATATAAAATTACAACCTCTTCAGTAAATAGTTCTTCCTTCAAGAAACAAAACTTACAAAACTTACAAGCAAATGTAAATAAACAATAAGAAGCAATTAACATAAAATGTTATATTAATATGCTTTGCTCTTTAATTCTACATGATCTTCTTTATACTGATGTTGAATTTTTGTTGGAGGTTACGTTAGATTAGCAAGTACTGTTAATGGCTTTAAAACGTAGAAAAAAAAACTGTGATAAGTAAAAATATGTTATCGTTTTATTAGTCGGTTACTTAATTTTATTATTTATTTTTGTAACATAATATGTAAATAAACTTACTTTAACTAAAAGAATTGTGTTTTATTTTGAACAAATCAAACAGATGTTGCAGTGTTTAATGAATTTTTAGGTTTACTTAACTGAAAATAATATAAATTATTTAATTTAAAAAGAATGTCATTTCTTTTAGAATAAATTTTCCAGTGTATTTTATATATTGTATTTATATTTTTTAATTAGATATTGATCTATACAAATGAGACACAATATAAACATCAAAGTAAAAGTAAAGAATCCATATTAGACCTAACGATCCATTGGGCAGATGAAATAGAGTTCACATGTTTCTTGACCTCGGCATATGAAGGGATAGTATGGTCAGCATGTTGCCAAGTCGCTTTACTTTCCCTAACATTAGCTAGGTACCCACCAGAGCTGGGTTGGCTCAGGGACGTTCTACTGACTTGGACCCGGATTCGAACTCCAAACTTTTTGGTTAGCAGCCCAGCGCTCTACCGCTTAGGCTTATAAACATAACCGTTCAATAAATGTTTACGACTTCTATTGCGAATATTCAGAGTTAGGATACTGGACTTGGGACGTAGGGCGTCGCTTAGTCGACGTAGCTCTGATGGGTACCTAACTTACCGTAGTAAACGTAAAGGCGGCTAACCACACTTACCCTTCACATGCCGACGTCACAGAAACAAGTAAACGCCGTTTGTTCTGTCCCGTGGAGTCATGGGTTAAGAAAAGGTAAATTTTCATAAAAATATCAACAAAGGACATAATTTAACACACACCACATAATATTTTCTAAATGTGAAGATATTTAGTAACAAATAGATGCAGTTATAGGAAATTAAAAAACCCATAATTGTTAGTAATTAAACATGGACAAGGATAAAGTGACTCTACATAAGATAAAATAAATAATTTAGGCATATTTAAAAATTGGAAACCATATACCAAAAATCAAATCAGAGAAAAATTGAGCGTTAATTATGTATTTAAAAAAAATATTAGAGCAATTCATTCTTCAAATAAATAACAATAGAACAATTTGCAGTTTTGTCGTTAGATTCTCTAAAATAAACATCACTCATTTTGTTTCCCTTTTCGTTGTCATTGTTGTTTCATCTACCTTTTTCAAAAAAAAAATGTAACGCTAAATTGAGTAGCCTATAGAGTGTCAAGTTCTATTTCTATTGTGAGCTCTAATGTTATTGTGTCAGTATAGAAATACCATAACGTTTACATACATAAAAGAAATAAAAAATTATTTTTAAAAAATAAATAAAATAAAAGTATGGGTTGAAACCAGTGTGGAGAGGCGGGGGAAGAGAGAGAGAAAAACCAAATCGAAACATCATAATGTTTTGTCTTTTTAAAAAACTAAAATAGAAGAGAAGAGAAACATCGTTTGTTTCGCCATTGGCCTTTTAAGTCTCATCTCCCTCACTTAAAATTCAAATTCTCCAGGGAGGGATAAAAAATGTCGAACTAAATTACTTGTTGTGAACATAAATTCCATTGATAATAAAAAAAACATGGTGGTTTTTGTTTCTAGGTCTCGCTTTAAGATTTTAAAATGCCAAGTGTACCCAATATACAACATTATTTTTTTACTAGTTATTGAATCATATTAATTAAGGTACGCCTAGGCTATTAATAATATTGCATTAATATAGTATTTACGTTGAGGAAAAATTTCAAATTCGCATAAATAATACAAAACTGTACGCTTCTTTAAAAAACAAAATCACAGTTTAACACAAGCTAATTTTTTCTTTATACTGGCCTACATCACGCAATCTATCGTCATCTTTGTTTACGATTTTAAATAACTTAATAATAGCGGACATATTTTTCTACTTTTTTACTGTTCAATAAAAAAAAAGTTCAGTTTGAAAAATACTAGCTGGCAAGTATGGAAACTATAAGTTAGAGACCTACTTACTAGCCCTATAACATGGGTTGCTATCGTAAAAAGAAACAAACATTTGATGTATTAGTAGTTATCTCCCTTTTACAATCTACTTCTGCTATCAACATAAGGAGAACGTTTAAGAAATGTATACCGTTTTTAGCCGAATATATTAGGCTGTTGCTCGTATTTTTCAAACTCCACTAATTTCAAGTAAAATTATACTACAATAAAACAGGATTTTTTTCCCTACACATTGATACCAATTTTGTGTCTCTAGCTTAATTAGGAGCTAAGATATGGCCTTTTAAAAATTTGTGGGCGTGGCTAAAACAGCTTAGACCTTCGTCATTCAAGTCAATGTTACATAAGCAAAAAAGTTGGCACCGATGGTTTTTTCATTGCATCATTACGGATTCGCATTTTTCGAAACATTAAAAAATTATAATTTTATTGCATCATCCGGGATTCGCATTTTTTTTAAAACTAAAAAATTATAATCAAGCTTAAAGTCTAAGTTATACTGGACTGGATGTGATTTGAATGAGTAATTTAATGCCATTCATATATTATTATTGACTTATTACTCCGTGTAAAAAAAAATTGTAGATCTAGGTTTAAAATAAACTAGA